TTAGCGATCTTGGGGACTTACGGTCTTGTTTTGTTGTTGTGCGACTTTAGAACGGATCATTGCAACTTCAAACTCAGTACACTGCAGGAATTCGAAACTTGAAGAAACACTGCAAACGAAGGAGACTATTTTGAACAGTTTGAAGAAGGAAGCGAAAACGTCAATGCTGATTCTAGAGCAGAATATTGGGGTTGAGAATCTTGAGGAGGAGTTCAGAAAGGTTTATTTCCTGCTAATATTTTGTTGGTGGTCATAGCGCACCGGCAGCTAGCTTTGTTGTTGTGCTTAAATTCTAAGATCCAGCTGGGCCAGTGACATAACCAACATTTGTGCGGCTCGCTACCGTTATCTCGTTCCAGTAGGAAATTAGTGTTGCCGCATGCCATCTGCTTGCTTCTAAGCAACTCACAAAAGAGGACCTTGCTAGCAGGTGATTGCTGTTAGTACATGCCACCACTCGGGCTACTTCCAAAAGTTTTCGCATTCTGTAGATAGGTGAATATTGATAGGTATTTCACTTTCAGTTTTAACTGTATTAGTTTTATGATGGATAAAGAGCGGTTACAGATGATTTCGATTAACAGATCCAGTTTTGGAAAGCAATCAAACAATTTTTTGATTTTTATTGTCCATTAATCATTTTTATAGATATGCATACATATTTTTTTTGCACGCAAAGCATTTTAAGAAAATGAAGAACTTAAGAATATGATCTTAAGAATATTAAGACTAGATCGCACTTTTTTATCGAAAAATGTTAAAGTTCATACTGTTATCTCTCTAAACAAACGCTCTGCCTTTTGTTTCATTTCCTTGTCATATTACTACTCACAGAGATCTTGGTCGCTTTTTCAGCTGCAAGAGAAATATGCGCAGCTCAGTGATTTGCTCATTAGCGCTGAAGAGCGATTAGCCAAGTTACAGCCTGAAGACGTCGATGGCAGGTACGGAAACAACTGTGCAATCATGGTCTTTTAAGCAAATGAGTCATTGTAGCCATACCAGAAAGAATAATTCGATAGGCAAAACACGCTGCTCGCCTTGTCGTAGACGATGGATTTTGTACACAGTCACGGCCTTTGGCTTCAAAACATCAAGCTTTTATCATTTTTGGGCACTGGAGTTTTAAAAGTTGCCAGGATTTGTGTCTGAGGTTAAAGGTACTGCATCCTAATGCAGCAAAAACATGCATAAAGATGCAGAAAAATAGCTATGTATTTTTGCGATAAAACTAACTGCTGTTATGTGCAGTAATTCGTCACAGTGCTTTTTTTCATACTCAAATCTAGGATAAAAATTCTGAATCCATAGGGTTTTTTTTGCAAATTAGCAAGGCAAAAATACTTGCCAGCACAAATTTTACTAAATGTGAGCAT